GGTGACGGTACCATGGAATAGAAAATTTCTGCCTCGGAGAGATTTTGGTTGTAGTAGTAGTAGTAGTAGTGCAGACTTGCTGGACAGCTATAGAGGCAGTTATATGCCTAGACACTGTTAGTGATTTGGAAGGCTTTTTCAGCACTTTGTGCTACTGCTTATTCACTATTGTGGCGATCAGAATGAGATTTGATGATAGGCTATGTCTAAAATGCCGTTGGAGGGAACCTTCTAGCTGTAAAGCCTGGTATATTCGGCGTGAAAAACCCTATTTTTCCATCTGACTGGGCCTCACCAAGTACCACACCGGGCCGTCCCTACATACACCATGTATGCAAGGCTTTAAAGACAAACCAATCAGTTGTGCACTGGTATTGCATTGAGAAGTTTACAAAAAGCATTCATTTGCAGAGCGATACATACTTGTTAAGTAACAGCAGGGAATCTACGCGGGCTCACTTCAGATATATTGTGCACCCGATTTCATGCTTAAATCCAAGTTTGGACTTCCACGCAGGGAGATACCCCACTGTCCGATAAATGGAACCATGAGTATTATGTAACGTACCCATCACAGCTATTTCAATACCTGTGTGGATGGTACAACAACAGTGCTAAATTTCCAACATTTTATCAAGAAAAGTTCACTTAAGAACGGCGGGTAAATAGTCTTTATGTGTCATCGGGCCACCCGAACTTAATCACGAAGAGGTTTGGTCTAAATGCAGCCATCCTTATCATCATTTACAAAGGATTTACGTAGTAGATACTACCCACCCCTCTCACTATTTTATGGAAGACACCTCTTTTGGAAGAGTTATCGTGCCTGTCTTTGGGACTGATTACGTGCTGCGACTCTAACGTGGTTGTTTGAAGGCTTCAAAAGCCAAATTTCACCCTAAACCTCGTCATGAACTTGTCTACGTGATCGTCATTGCCAGCAAGGCTGGGAATGGATAATAACAGTTTGGTTGAAATTGGTTCAATACGCGTTGAGTATGCGTTAATAACCTATGTCTGGTAAATTTGTAATATGTGCACATGATGCCATCCGCATAGTTGCTGGACAACTTTTGATTTCTAAAGCTTTTACGAGCTTGTCGTTGCATAATGTGTGTCACACTGGTTCGTATATACGAATACTATGATGTGCAAATATTCAGTAATGCTTTGTCATTAATCCTCAGCTCGGGGCTCCCTTCCAGCTGTTGCTGATTAATTTTGAGCGAAACGGAATCCACCATTTGGTTAACTGCAGCACTGACCCTGTTATTTAATGGCGTCCAACCACAAGTTCTGGGCTTCAGATTAGCTCAAAACTGCAGCCATTCATTCTGTAGCTCCTTGTGTTTCTGTCGATTTCCTAGAATGTTTACAGTATCTGTGAACAGATAGTTGTCAAGACTCATATAGGCAAGTTGAAGGACACTTCACAAAAGAATCAAGAGCAGACCTAGCATACTGTCTACAAAGGACAGTTTCGATACATCCAAAAACTCACTCAACGACTTTCATGTCTTACTACCAGAAACGTAGCTTATAGCATCACGGGTCTCTTGGCAGCCTTCTGAAAGGTTCAAACCGCAATTCCTGTAGTCCAGTTAGCCTGGGTTGTACTTAAACTGTTGTAAACTTTTTCCGTGATTGACGTGGGTGTGCCTTTGTTCCCACCGCTACAGAAAAGTTGTCTTTCATACGTGTGCAAGCGAGATATACCATACCAGTGGTGCTGGTACATAAACTATGCGCAAATTTTCCACTTAAGCAGTTGAAAACACCCATGTTCATGCTTGTAGATAGTATGGTTTATTATCTGCGCAGCCAGAAATCTCCATTTGACTGCACTCACTTACATATTTGAAATTTTATGCCTTTATTCTGACGCAGTCCCGTTAATATGTAGTACACAAAGGCAACCACTTCCAAGGAAAGCCTAATCAAGGGGATTTGTGGGTAGTAGCTACGTCATAGTCTACATAGTCTACAGATTACCCCGAGGACCATATTAAAACCGCTCTGGGGACAGTTGACCCCTGGAAGAAATTCATTCATCCCCGTTTTTGACATAGCGTTTCACTAATAGTCGGTTCATATCTGTAATCATTCTGTATGTGTACATAATGCACTTTGTGAAGCCACAGAGGCTCCTGGAATTCCAAAACCAAATACATCTATCAGTACTCTATCCAAACCTGCGGGAATCTTCCTACTGTCGATTACCTAGTTATGCTAATCAAACTAACTCCATAATAGAAGGCGTTCTGTTTAACTCAACTCTTTTTAAGCGTTCACCTTCCTTAATCTAATCTATCTGGGAAAGTTCTTACCATCCTACATGACAGTTCAGTGCTTAAGGCGGTCGATATTTCGTTGCCGTTTGGTAGAGACGAAAGACCGTGGTCTAGCACACCGCAACCTTGGTATCAACAATCGGATTGTGGTTTGTCCGAAAGCGTTCATAAGTGGGACCAAATGCAACACTTATTCATCCGAACATTTCGCTCATGGGTGATAATTTAGTCAGTAGACAACCAATATATAATTGAACCCTCAGGATCTGACAGAATGCGTCCGCTATCATCACTGCATTCGTTCACCTTTCGGCAAGACTGTTAGCATACATATTTCGAAGCGCCTCTAAACTAAGTTCGCTAACTAACTGTGGAAATGCTGCACAAATTCGTGTAACTTCGAGTCGCATCATTTAGCGGCACATCACGAACTAATCGGGTGTAGAACAAACTGCATGAATGATGAATGAACATACAGCTTTTTCTTATCAGTTAATGTAGTTAGACTGGCCTCGTATAAGTCTGTGGGGATGAATAAACAGCTTGTCAAATTCCTGTCGAAAAAGTGCGACGACGGGCTACCGCTAATCAATAATGCCAATTGCCGCCTCAAGTTGTTTAAAGTACTTTATTCGAAAGTACACAACACTAAGTGTTAATTGCGTGATTTGCTTAAACTTGCACTCCAAAGGAACACAGCTTAGTCCTAAAAGTACTATTTGGGCGTACTTTGGTGTCTACACGCGTCGACAAATTCTAGTGAGATTTTACATTTTCAAAACGTTTCAAATCGATGCTTCCCCATCTGTTTGGAACCCTGAAAAGGTGGTCAGTCCTTCCTTTGAGTTTAACTAACCCGAGCAATTTGGTTCAAACGATACGAAAAGACTGCGTGGATTACTGTATTTATTATATTACAGCTGCTTCACACAATCAATACCGAAGGACAGTAGGAGGTAATGAGAGCATAAAATTATTCTTATCTGGAAGGCAAGTTAGGTCAGGTTGATGGGCTTTGGCTAAGCCCAGGAGATGCCGGTGAGTGCTTCAAACTGCATAAGGTATTCTACTTTTGCCTCGCTTGTTTGCTCTCATCCGTGGCCGATTCAAATGGAACTGATCCAAAAAACGGGTCCGTACAAACATACATACGCCAAAACTTTAGAAGCGGATGTGTGGCAGGAACTCAAGTTCTCGATTTTCTCATTCGAAACCCAATTTACCAAGGAAATCAAGTGACACTTAAGTTTAATTAGCCAAAATGTGATAGAAATGATATGACAGTTTGGGATGTTTAATCGTTGATGGGCGAATTTTCGCCTCCAGAGATGTGTGCTCAAACCATTTTACTGTTCCACAGGACGATGGCAGCAATTATATTAACTTCACCTATTGGTGGTTGCAGAATGTTAGCTGCCAATCTCTGAAACTCACAGAAAATAAAAGCTCACATGGGAAATCCTGTCAAACGCTGGACCCAGTAACAAGTAACACGCCTTATGCATAACAAGCCCACTGAATAGCAAGACTAACCGACAGCTACTGGACATCCAACGGGCTGATGCTTTGTGGGAAGGTCGAATTTTGCTACACAACTGTCAGAGCAAGACAACCGTCGGACTATACACTAAGTTTGGTTTGATTGTGTAACAGTTCTTCAACTATGTCGGTTGCCTGAAGAAATCTTTTCAGGTAAGGACGCCGTGATGTGTAGTGAATTATTGCAAACCATAGGTTAATTATGAGTGGTTGTTTTGGGCCTGAAGATGTTCTTGCCCATGACGCCTACGCAGAATTTACAACCCTTGGACAAACATAACCGGGGCGTAAAGTGCAAACTGAGGTTTTCACAACACGTTTCTCAGTTTCACTGAGAAGTCCCAGGCAATTTGAAAAACGTCTAGCATTTTCTGCACATCCTGGTCAAGAGGACGATTACTTATCGCAGGGGAGTTTGAAATGAGCTTCAATAGTACCGTGGAGAAAGATGATATTAGAGATATATTGTACTTCACTAAAATAGACATGCACTGTCACGCAAAGCAACCCTGGAAGAATTATTTAACATGAACGAAAACACAGAATGTTATCCGACAGCCTGGTTAATAGGCATTTTGGCAAAGAATAGCCATGGAGTTGATTGTATAAATGGTTCCCAAAGCAGTCTTCTAAGACCTCTTCATGCAACCACAAAGCATCTTACGGATGCTTGCACAGCATATGTAATGCAGTCATGCGAAGGCAGTGCGCTGAGAATGATTTCCAGTGTAGTTGAACTTCTATAAAATTCATCCCAACTCTTAAAAACTTACAGCAATGTGATTTCCACAAGTATGTCTCTTACTCTAGATCTGTCGGACAGGCAAGCCATTAAAATGGACTGCTTGTCAACATGCGCTGTTGCTCACACCATATGTTAGGTGTCAAAGGATACGCGATGACATGGGGAACAGTGTGCTACCGTTTAAACATAACTGTACCTCGTAGAGCATTTCACTTTATAGCATTAGATTTCCACTTTGTTTAACAAGGAAATCGCAGTTTTCACAGAGAACATATGCAGACAATGTGTGTGTATAGAGTATATATATATATATATATATATATATATATCGAATGATATCACCTTGGGCACACTATAATTTGTCAAATTGTTTGCCAGGATGACTCTGCATAACCAGGTGGATTTTACAAAACTGTTTAAAAAACTGTCCAATCATTTTGCAGGCATCTGTGATTGTCCCTATTTCGCGCGCATTGAACTTTTGGCGGACAAGTTAGCAAGTAGCTTACCAAACTTTATAGTGACAAAGCTGGTCAAGCAGGCATCTGAGTGGAAAGTAAGTCGAGTGAGATACGCTAATTTAATTTTACTTCTACTCAGGAATTCACCAATTGGGTACTGAAAGAACACGGATGGGAGGTGAAGAGATCTCCGGTTGTTTGGCGAGAGTTGTTAGATCGCGGTGGCGTAGGGACCCTTATCGGCGGTGCAGACGAATTTCAGGAATATGCAGCTGCATATTATAACGAATTCAGCCAGATGCCTACAGAGGAATTGCTTAAGGTGGCAGCAGATACCAGCCGATTTCTACTGATGGATAAAAAAGAGCACGAGGAGCAAATCACAAAGAGTGTACCACCACCAAAGATTGTTGTTATTGGAGCATACTGCAATGCGTCAGTTCACCTGCTGCCATATTTAGCCCAATACGGTCTGTTTTCGGAAACCGAGAAAATAGCACTACATTTATATGATGAGTTGGCCAATGAGAAGGACCTTCGAGAGCTTGTAGACTCTCTCAATGAACTGGATGCTCCCATGTTGGCCGAGGTAAAGATCGAAACAGAACTGTCTGCATGTTTAGTGGATGCGAAACAAATAATCTTCTTAAACATTGTTCCCCGAATGCAGCTGAACGTGGAAGAATCAGTGAGCTGTCCAACTAAAACGACGAACTCCAAGTTCGTCACCGTAAAATCTGAGCCACGCAACCAATGGTTGAAACGCCGACATACCTTCCTCACAGCAATTGGTATGCTTATCAAGGCATACTGTTCATCATCCGTACGCCTTCTTGTGGCCGGAAATCCAGGTCTTGATGCTGAATCCAACGATTCACCATCACCCATCAATTTTGATGTGGCGGTGCTGCACAAGGCCACTGCACCACACATTCCATGCATGCAGATAGTAGGACTGGCTGCCGCACTAGAACAGCGCATTAAGTCCACTCTGGCTGTAAACCTAGAGGTTTCTCCGCACAACATCACTGATGTTGTGATTTGGGGTAATATCGGATCCAGAATTTACATAGATCTCAGTCTATCGCGTGTATATCAAAGACATGCTTATGATATCGGAGTACAGGGAGGCGACTGGTATTCTGTACCTACCCTGAAAGCAATACGGGATCCGGAGTGGCTGGTGTTCGAAATGCCTAGCGAAGCCTTCAAAAAACGAACGAAAGCCATATCAGATTACCATGGGTTTAGTCATGCACAAGCAGTCATCCGTACACTTGAATCTTGGTGGAGAAATATGGACGACAAGGAGGGAGTTCATTCGTTGGTGATTGCTTCTGAAGGTAAGTAATAATAATTCGGATTTCTGTAAAGCCTTCGCTACAAAATAAACCCTATTGCATTCATCTTCACTTCCATCAAGCTAAACACCAACAAGATGAAGGGGTTAAGTGGGAGTTATTTAGTTAAAGGTCCATCCCAGATCCGCACTCGAAATCCCGTGACCAGCAGCCGAACTCAGAGAGACCCTTGGTTTCCTCTTGCAAACATTTCGAAAACCAAATGAGGCATCATAACCGCGCGGTGGTAACGTCTCCTCGTTTGGTTTTTCGAACGTTCTCAAGTTAGTTGCCAAGGTCGGCGAAAAGGTCACCACAAACGCGCGCCTAGGGTGCTGTTGGTAAACATCGCTTAGGTGCATGAACCTCATCTAGCAACCAAAAGTTGCAGTTTTTATTGTTTATACTCTGCTAGACAACTTTTGCTTAGGTGCTGTGCAGAAAACGTGGAAATATATGGTGTTTTACTGAAGCTTACATTCCGGTTTTCGCTACCACCAACAGAATGGTATGGCGTCCCGCGGGGTGTGGTGTTCTCGTTCCCAGTGAATAGAAATCCCAAATCCAGCTGGTCAGTGGTTCAGGATGTGGAACTAAGTCCAGCAGCTACCTTGGAAATCGAAGCTTGCGTTAAGGTAAGTTAGACAAACTGTCGTGTCACTCACTTCGTAGAACTAGTGGGATAACAGGGTGATTCCCAATGACTGGAAAGTAAGACCGCAGTGCGGAAATAGCTATTCAGACGCTCAGAGGAACATTTAGTGGAACAATCTACTACATTCAGCCTACGTGGGCCACATATTGTTGGGTATAGAATGAGTACAGGATTAAAACCACAACAGACATTCCCTCTGGATCTGCCCCTTGGCGAGTTACAACATGCATCGCAGCAATGAAAAATAACAACGGTGGAACAAACGAACTGAGGATCATGACGACTGAGCGGAAAAGGATAGTTGGACACTTAGTAATCGGAGACTCATCAACAGATCACTTCCAAATCGATAAAAAAAGATGAGACCTTTAATAAAGGACAAGACTCCTCGAAATTTCGAAAGACCATCAGCCAATCGACAAACTATTGATTTGGAACTCAGCGTTTTATCATTTCTACTGAAACCCTTTGCTGGGTTGGTCATCTCAAAACGGAACACTCAGGATTACTCAAGGACTCTATGACTGCGTATATTTGGGAGAATAAATTATTTATCGCACTTATCAGGATTCTTCCGAATCCTTTACTAAATTCTTGTCTGACTATATAGTGGACAGCGGCCGAAGGTCACTGCAGCCGCACCGGATACTAAGGCGCTTTTCGACAAAAATGTGACTTTCCTTAGGGGAGGTTCACTGAACTTATACTGATATCGTGAATGTTTCTGTTGCTACAGGCGGAACACATATAGATCAATTTGATCGCCTGCTAATCCGGTTACATCCACCGTGCGCTCGTTGGGTGCTGACAAGTTCGCATTGTATTTCAGAAGGCCAGCGTTCGCACCCAAGTAGATTCGACGGTTTTAGCAGCCGACATCTAATAAGGGTTCGGCTCGAGTCCAGCGTCTCTTCTTTGGTGTGGACTAACTAGAGCAATGGCTCCAGGTCAGAGACAGAACTTGGGTCATGAGTTCGAAGAGTGCCTCAATTATCAATTTTTGTTGTGTGGGGGACGTTTCTCAACACATGCATTGTGATTTGGTTGGTAATCCAGCTCCACACAACCCACGTTTTTAAACTAGCATGACGTTCACTGGAAACAATATATGTACATCAAGAATGTCCAGTTGTTTCAAGACGCCGATCATCAAGGTTTGTGCACAAACAGTCTCTAGCCGAACCCGTGACCGTCAAGCCGACCGCAAGTCACAGACCGATCCAAATGTACTAACTCCAAAGTCAGTCTACTTATCTGCGTCCTCATATTCAGGCGAGCTTAGATCTTGCTACATTAATGTGCTCTTAACCTTCTTTGCTTGCCCCTTCCCGTCAATTGTCCACCACCAATCTAGTGACACTTCATACATGCAGCCATAAGTATACTGACTACTCACCTTTCTCGTTTATTATATGCCAAGTGGTTGTGTCCAGTGGAGAATTCTTTTCGCATAGTAAGTGGTAAAAAATCCAACTCAATTTTGCTAACTATCGAGTGGGTCCCAATATTTGGTGTTTTGTTGAAAAAACACTATGTACGTACATCAGGTTTTGTATCAAGACAAATTTCTCAGTTTTTAGAGGACACCAGGGAATCACCGCGAATCAAGAGTAAAGAACGCTTTCCGAGAAATAGGTCCAGTTTCGTCAGCGGGTAATCACGCATTACCCAGGTAGTAACCATTTACTGCCCGTAGAACTGACCTTTCGGTTGTAGTTTGGTCACCCCGAATGAGCACCTGACCAAATCGTAGTGTGGATACACACATGGGGAATGACCTTTGCAAATCTTCACAAGACCAACCGTCCGTCTGAAGTCTAAAGCATAAAAAGCTGTCAAACTACAAATCCATTCTAGATTCTTGATTTCCTACCATTCATCATCCAGAGATATCAGAAAACGAAAAACCCTAACGATTCTCTATCCATTTTTTTCTATCTAAGGACGTGCTTGAAGACTGGACAGCGGTCGATCCAGAGCCACTAGAACGATATATGGAAAGTCATAGAGGTAAGCGCCACTCCAAATCATTTCTCAGAACATATTCCCGCAGGTCTAGAGAAACCGGAAGATTCAAACGAAGTATCTACCGAAGAATGACAGTATAGTTTCAAGAGATTAGAAAAAACGCTTTATTCTTATTTCGAATGCACAAGCATCACTTGTTACATTACTTGTCATACTGATTCAAAGAAACAAGAAAACAAAATGTAAAAGCAGTAAAGCCACAGGAACTATGCACATTAATATAGGGGGACGTGGATCGATTAGTAAAGTAACGAAGGGGATCCAAATGCGACAGCATCACAAGAGGGATAAAAGCGAAAACAATAAAGTCAAACTGGTAGCAAGGAAGTGCGGGATAACGTCAGCAGTACAAGCAGAAGCAGAGTAAAAAAGGCGGAAGTCATTCCCAGTAGTCGGAGATTTACATTCATTTGCGACTGACCTTTTTCGGTTTATCGGGTACCGGGGGAATATCTTTGTGAGCTGACAGTTGACGTTCGAACAAGCTGAGAAGAACAAAAATTCACTCATTCAGGGAACGGAATACGTAATCGCACCTTTTGGTTTTTATAGTAACAAATCAAAGCGTTCGACTATGACCAGCTTTCATTGCATGGTCATCATGAAACCCGTACAGGATATGGTACAAGGAAGATCAATACAGGAAAAAGGACATGTCGGCCTCCCTCAGATGTGGTTTCCCTTCGGGAGGATTATGCACTTAGTCTGGATGCAGTTATTGTTTTCCTAGACTTTCCATGTGTGTTACTCCTCTGAGAAGAGACCATCCCATTAGATCTATCCTAGCATTGACCCTCCAACAAGAGAAACGGCCAGAGGGGATTAAGTACACCCTACTCACGTCGTGGCTTCTCTCGGAAGTTTGTTGCGCTGTCAAATAGCTCAAGCCTATATGTGAAAGATCAAAAATAAAGAGATAGAATCAGGAATCAACACAGACTCAGCCAAACCTGCAAAAGCTGACGACTCCACTGCATCACTTAGCTTAGTTCTATGCTCTTATTGGTCATTGCAACAGAGGTTCCCCATATCGAAAATCGTCTGTAACACAAATATTTTTCGGGTAGTTGATTTTATTATTTTACGCGTTCAACTGCGTATCATTCAAACGATTCAATTTATTAAAATCTCAGGCATTTGCTTTAGGTGAATTGTAGCGACAACGCATTACCTAGTATAATGGTTTGCATCCGACCAGAAGGTACCACATGGAGACGGGTGCTGCAGTGATTTTGTTGTGTCTTGCTGGACCATCGTGCAACTCTATATCGGTCCCTTGGTTTCCTGCTTTGCCCACTATGTCATATCCTGAAGTTGTTTCTGCAACATTCTTCTTTGTGACCCTTTCGACTGCACTTACTACACCCTGGTTCCGGTAGGGACAGTGGCGTGAATAGTGCCATTCTTCACAAAACCAACAGGGCGTGGGCGGTCTTCTAGGAGTTCGTTTTGAATATGACTTCCGTTTGGAAGTTACTTTGCATACCATATCCGGCTGAGAGAATCTGGAATGTCCAATTACTGCAGCATCAGCCTTGAGATTGATGAGATGCTGGCATTCGGTGGTAAGTTTCTGAAGCGTCAACTTTGGATCCTGTTCAATTCGTCTCAGTAGCCGGGTCCGAATATCTGCATCGTGTGGCGATTGAAGACCAGCCACGAAGATGAGACACTTGAATTGATCCTCGGTCATGGAGCTGAGCTGAAAGCGTTCGCATTCTCTGTTGACCACACCGGTATATGTTATGAAATCCTCAGTATCCCTTTTGGTAATCTTGATACACTGATAACGAATATTGAACAAGGAACTTTGCTCACCGAATATTTGGGCCAAAATTTTGACAGCATCTGCGAAACCAAGGTCACGAGGGTGTTTGGGGAGTATGAAATCTGTGAACCGATCGGGTTCAGTTGTCCCCAATTTCCGCAGCAACAGTCGAAGTTTCCATGCATCATCAAACTGAGCAAAGTCGGTTTGAAACATGTCTTCATATTTCTTGAACCAACTTTCGAAACTTCGTCCAGATTCAGCATCAAAATTAAATTCGGTAATCGAGCTGGCAGCAGCATCTGCAGAGGAAGACGGAGGCTCAGCCGTTTTTGTCGCATTCACCGACATACTGCGCATCAGAGATTCAACAAGCCTCATTTGAGCTTCTTCGAACTGCTTCTGTTGTTGCTGTAAAATTAACTGGAGTTGCTCTGTCGAAATTGACATCGTGGGTTCGGGTTGTCGCCAGTTGTATGTCTTGCTGGACGATCGTGCAACTCCGTATCGGTCCCTTGGTTTCCTGCTCCGCCCACTATGGTGTATCAAAAGGCACGGCAGCTCTGCACAGCCCTTTATGGAGACAAAGGAAAATCATTACAACTGTATTTATAGGGTAATCACAGAGTGTTCCACAAGGTCGTGCCGGAATGTCCGTGAGGGGGCGAGAAGCGTCGAGTCAAAGGTGCTTGACTCGGATTGGCTGGCATTCTGACCAATCAGGGCATGCCTTCGTCTGGCCCGTGTCCTGCACGTGACACATCTGTCCAAATGATGTGATGTTCGGTTATAAGGGACGGCTGGCCCCCAAACAGATTTATACTGGCTGGAACTTTGTTCCACAAGGTGGAATCGTGCCAGGAAAGCCACGGGAAAGAAGTCAAACTAAGGGCAGTGGTACCTTGTAATACGAGCAATCGTATTATGGGGCGGCCTGGTGGTAAAGTCATACTACCCACTGCGGTCGAAGTGCGAATGCAGTAAGGCGTTCCTCCCAGATGACCAGCGTATCCATATTCGCGGAAGCAGCGATGCTGCCTTCCCCCAGAAAGGACGGGCTAGAAAGGTTCGGCCCTAAAAACAGCACACTCCGACCACCTAACGGCTGACCATTACCACCGGCGCATTATTCAGTATGGTGGAAATACTTCCAAAGCCGAATAATTTGATTCTGTGCACAGCCGCTTTAGGAGTCAGTCAGGCCCTACAACCCAACGGGTTAGACTGGAGAATCGTCGGCTCCGAGCGGGGTCCCCGAAGAAAACCCAACTTCCGGCTGCCTCGCGCGCGACAAAGGCTCAAGGGTGGGATGCTTCAACAAACCTCACACGTCGGCCTGGGCAACCAGGAAATGTCACTCGTCCCCACAGTTCTTTGTTCATCGATGTCCCTTCCCAATGCCTTTCACCTCACAAGTAAGCGTCGCTTGATAATTTATTGATAGATGTACCTTGTAAAACCGACTGACCATTAATAGTAAACAAAATAACACGGGTGAATCCGTGGAACTTATAACGTCCGTCGTAGTGGGTGGCAAATTGGCAAACGGTCGGTGCTCTGCCAGACATTATACCCTCTTAGGGGTGACGTATAATGTCTCCGAAACATGCATACAGGACTCAAAAGTGACGATGCATCCGGAGGTGCCCATGATGAAATTTGCTTCAATTCTATTCTCCATGTATCTGCTAATCCATAACCCATGACTGGTAGGGTATACGCTGCGGGAGATGCCCTCAGCCTGAGGGCTGAAGGCGCCTTAGCTTGACTGGATTCCTGCCCTTATGCCGTCCAAACAAGCTTAATGCCACTCAAGAGAAAAACAGTGCCTGTTTGCAGTGCTTACGCTCAAAAGCACTGCAGTTCTGAAGCTGATAAGGATTCTTCCCACCGAGACTTATCCGGACTCATTCGTCAAGTAAAAGATATCAACATTGTCATCCTTGAGGGCGATATGAATGCCTGTTCGCTAAAGGTTTTGGAATGACATCTGGGTGATCGATTCGGGGTAAGTGCTCGAAGCACAGACGAGGAAATATACTTCTGCCGTTGTGCGCCGACCATCAATTGCTTCTGGAGAGCACGAATTCTCAACATAAATGTTCGTACAACGTAACTCGTGTGGTGGAGAAGTGCCCACGGAATGGGGTCCATAAAAAATAATATCTTTATAAATGGCATATGGACATTGTGTGAAAACCATAGTGGCACTATCCTGGTAACGGGGGCACCGAAGGTACTTTTTGGCCCTATCCTTCCCAGACAAAAGCAGATCTGAAAATTATCCCAGAATGCCCGAAAAACCCTCAAACTCCACCACAAGAAAGCCAGCAAGCATCCAGGCAAGTCAATCAATCAACTCAGCAAAAGTCGACGAGTGTTCAGGCGCGCCACAAAAACACAACCGACTATGATAAGCGTCCGGACATTTCATAGAATCGCGGCCGATGACCACAGGTGTTCTCAAAACACATGACCTGACAGCCTGAATCAACGCGCCTTAAACAGCAAGAGGTCCCTTCTATTCAATTCAATTCATCAGCTATAAACCGTGTGCCATAGGCACGGTGGTTACGGTTTCGATCACCGGAAAAGTGGGATACAAAAACAAGCCTTGGAGGCGAAGGCATGCTCAGTATGTTCTGAAGGCGGTAGGTTTGATGCACGAGCGCCATCGACTGCACGATTGGGTCATTTCCGCCAATGTCAATAACCATTGCTGATTTGAGTCCCGGGGTCCCCATCCAGGAAGGCGGCAGTTGCCCACCCAACTTAATTTACAGGTTAGTGTTTTCGTACTTCGTTGCCAGGCCCCTTGTAACTTTTGCACTCACTTGTCTGCAATAAAACTGTGTTGTTGTTGGCGATTCTTTCTCCGACACTAAGGCACTGGAACGGGAATAGCAATCGGTTACAACAGATTTGAAGTAGATACAACAGGTTCCAGCCTGCAGAATCATACACCGATCACATTCGTTCTCGACAGATTCCGAGATAGCGACGTCACTTCCAACCACAACCAACAATAACCACCTTTCTTGAAAGGAAAACTTTCTTTGACTTTATTGATCGTCAAGCACTACGGCAGTATCCCTAGTGCAAACATGTATCCATATATTCTAAGCCCTGCCTAAAGCGTTGTAAGCAGACTCCTGTGAGCGCATGAAGGTCTATGTTAATCCATCGTCAGTAGGACCGGCCAAGGCTGCCCTCTCAATTATCCTATTCAACTTCGTCACCGATAGGACCAACTGGACATTCATAGCGGCTTACAGACGCAGATGATGATTTCCAAGATAGAT